GATTGATCTAAGACCAGAAGTCCTGAGCTGCTTGAACGATATTGAAAAGAACCGTTTTTGGCCACTCCCAGGTGAATGACAGTCAAAAACTTTCACCACTTGTGAGGACATCTACATATAGCCAAACCCATATGGTGTGGTCTACGGTATTCGTCGTTGCCAATATGCTGAAGACTATAAATCTTTCGCAAAACTTTTCTTTCGAACACTCGCGAGGCTCACTCATCAGGTGTTGTTGTCGTTCACACTTCTGCACCATGAAGTAGGACGTGACTGATGGGCGGCTTGTACAGTTTCGTGTATTTTCGTCTAAAGAGGACTTTACTTTTCAATTGACTATCCAGTCCAAAGTAGCATTTGGTGGCAAGTGTGATTTTGCGCTTTCTTAGTATAGTGACGTTCTTTCAATAGTATAGTGACATTGGAACGAAGGCCTGAATACGAAGACTGTTTGCCCTCGTTCACTATCAGACCCATACAGTCTTGCGGCACGGTTGTTGTGGTCAATTATGTCACACGCCAGCAATGGTACGCTCTTAGAAAAGATTGCACTCTTTTAATTTTGCAATTTTTATTATTTTCTCCGGTAACAGAAAGAGAAAGTCTGAAGTCTCGTTAGTTATCGAACTGCTCCGAACGGTACTTTTGGTGTTACTTAGCGTCAATTTGCTTAGTGATTTAAGTTTTGCGATGATACCAGATTACAAAAACTTATCGGCCAATCCGAGGCGGTTTCTCACTCTAGATCTGGCTATATTTAGGGAAACCAGAGAAAAAAACACCATAAAAACAGCTACAATCTCGACCGAGAACCTCTGTATTTGCCTGGCTTGCTCAATCTTTTTGATGATGGTCATGCACTACACCTAAATTACCTCATACAAAGCTTATGAAATTACAAAAATACCCTTGAAGGCCTAAAATATTTGGTCTTCGGTCCTCTTCACTCACTCTCAATCAAGCTTATCCCGAAAGCCAACGAAGTGTACAACCCATCTCTAGCAATACCCACGTGCACCCAACAAATATCCTCTTAGGTAAGTATGATCCGCTGCAAAAATGTTTCTGTCGGCTCTAGATAAAGTTGCATTGCAATGTGGCAAACTTTGGCCGCAATCGTTGGATTGTGAGCACACTTCTCTCTAACTATTTTACATGCGAATATAAATACAACTTTGCCAACTACATATGTATGTATGCAAATGGTAAACAGCTAACGGTCATTTCGATAATGAGCGCGCCAAAAATGCAAAGTATCTTGGGAGTTGCAGAGCTCTCTTGCACTTGCCGAGCACTATGGCAGTGAGGGCGCAGAGCAAAGTTTGTGAGGCGAGGCGGAAGGGATAAAAAAAAAATTTTTGAAAAGTGAACTGAAAGTCGCAATTTGTTTGTTGTGTATAAATTTGCAGTTTTTACGAATTCATATATGTACGAATATAAGTGAGGATACATTTTAGTTATGCAACTGTGGAAATCCTTGAGGATTCAAACTTTGGCTGCAATTCCGTCATGTTGAGTGGGTGGTAAGAGTCGGGCGGGGTTCGTTAATGCATATGGTGTATTTCCATTTGCCATTGCAAATGATTGCAAATGAAAGTTTTTGAGCAAAGCAAATAAAAAGAAGGAAACGCACAGAGCTCAATAAACACACAGACACAGAAAGTTCATACCGCTGGACTGCATGGGTGGCAGATAAAACTCTCTCGCACGCCCACTGAGAAAAACCAAGCGCTCAGACGACGACCAGTCAAACAGACAGCGAAGCAAGCAAACCTGTCAAACGGCCAACCCATCAAACGACCAATCCACCAGCCAGCCAGGCAGCCAAGCAGCCATTCAACTAACCAGCTAAGCCAAGCGAAGGAGGAAGAACGAAAGGATTTCTATACATATTGCATGTACATACATATATGTATGTATGTCAAGTGTATGACCGAATGCCGTAACGAAATGAAAGGCAGACAGGTAAAGGATAGACGCGGTGCACAGACTAGACCGTTCGCGGACAGTTGATTTGTGCAGCTATTATTTATAAGCTTTTTGGTATATACATACATATACTCATATATGCATGGATGTCTGTAAGTATGGCGGCCATAAAAGTTTCTTTTTTGTAAAACTGAATATTTTATAAATGTTTGTGAGTGCTGCTGTACGCTTCGGTCTGTTGCAAGCGACGCACAGCTTACATACTTACATACCTAGGCGGAATCCCTTGGGCCGGTTTTTTTTTCTTTTTGCGGCAATGGTAGGGCTTACACGCTTATATTTTACACGTATTATGGATGGGTTCGTATTTGAAAAAAAATGGAATTAAAGATTTCAATTTTTTTTTGTTTTTTTTTTTTTTTTTTTTTTGCCCGAAAGCAATTTGAATGCTTAAAAATTAGTGCAAATTTTGCATATTTTTTTTTGTACGATTTTAAAAATTCATAATTACAGTTTGAAAGAGCAGAAATGGCGTAACACAAGAGAATTGTTAATTTAAAAGTTCATAAAATATTTGAGTTTAAAAAAGCTGCGGTGTGAGAAAAAGACCAAATGGATTCAGATTTGCATTTTTGCACTAGAATTTGTGGAGAGCAAAACTCTTGGCGTCACCGAATTCAACATTTGCTCCGTCGAGGATTACTACATATTAGTCATCTGCATGATACTTGAATAATGATTCGAGGTAGCAGTCAGAGCGCTCGCGTTACGCCTCGAAAGTAATTTAAATCACATTCGTCTAACTAGAAGCTAACATCAACACCGACCTCTCTCGACGAATACAGACCACAGTTTAAAAGTCGCTTAACATTCCAATTGTTTTTCTTGTTGTTGCACTGTACCCACTAGCCCTGCTTAGTAGCCAAAAAATCTGTTGATCTATACTGACCTAGTTGGCCTATTTGTCTGGTGGGAGCCCATCGGGCAAGCTCGTTTCTTGGCCCACTATAGAGATTACCCCTATCAACTAGCTTTAGTCTGCTCCTAACCGGTTGTTGTTGTTGTAGCGGTTCGCTAATCCCACTTAGGCAGAGGTTAGATTAATCTTAGTTTCCGAGGTCATCTAATGGGAGGTCAAGGAAACGAGTTGTTTTGACGGGGTTGCACCAAAGGGAGAGAGGGGGTTAGACGAGTTTGTTTGAGAGGGCATGTGAAGAGGTGGTTAGTGTCGTGCGGAGACTCTCCACATGCAGGGCATACATTGGGTAAGTTGGGTTCTAGTCTGGCTAAGTAAGAGCTTAACCTGCTACAGTATCCAGACCTGAGTAGTGCCAAGGTCCCACGGGTCTCTCGAGGCAGCTCGAGCTTGTTGTCAGCAATTCTTGGGAAGGAAGTCTTTGACGGCTTTGACTGACTTCTGTGGAATGGCGTTCAGTGCTTGTCTGTGCGCCGTCCTGTCCAATGGTATTGCTGGATGATGTCCTTCATGTCAAGTACTCCCTTTCCCTACGGTAGCATTCCAATAGTAATTGCATGCACCCTAAATCAATATGATACCTAGCTCGTAGAATAGATGCTTCGCTGTGCAAGTGATGCTCCGGCGACATCAGGAAGTTTCCTGTCGCGGTCCCGAAGGCGGTGTTTTGGCAAGCCTATAGCTTCTTCATCTGCGTCTCGTTCCCCGGCGCCCAGATCGGTGCAGTATTGTCTACGACCGGCCGGCCAGTTGCTTTGTAAGTGTAATTACTTTGAGTATTTCATTGCGGCTCTGGAGTTTTGCGGCAATTGTGGTCGTATGCGGAGTGAAGGAATGCAGTCTATCTAGTGTGACTCCCAATATCTTTGGGTTGTTTATAGTAGGAATTTTTACGTCATCGACCCTCACATCTAATACAAGCCTGTGCTCCTTCGTCCAGTTGGTGAAGAGGGTAGCCGAGGATTTAGTTGGTTGTATTTTTAATTGTCGTGCAGTGGAGAAGTGAGAAAGATCAGCAAGGTAACAGTTCACTTTCGAACAGAGGTCATCAATATTTTGGCCAGACGCCAATATCGTGCACCAACTTCTTTTGGAGGAGAAGGGAGTTTCGATATGTAAAAATTAAACAGTAGTGGGGAGAGGACACAAACCTGCGGAGCTCACTGTTTAATTTTCCTAACTTTAGATGTCTCCACTTTGGAATATTACGAATGATTGTCGACCACTCAGTTAGCCCATGACCCACCTCTGCAACCCCGGCGGTAATGAGAATTCCTCAATGTCCGTTAACAGCACTGAATGGTTGACGGTGTCAAAAGCTTTTGACAAGTCCAAAGCTACTAGGACAGTTCGCGCGAAGGGTCGGTTTTCGTTAAGGCCATTAACCAACAGCGTGCTTATGGCGTGTAGTGATGTTGTAGTACTATGCGGAAGCCATGCTGATGTGCTGGTGAGTGAAAGTCGGGAGCATCAAGGCCCCAAATGTCTTTGCTACTGGGAAGAGGGGAGTTATCGGCCAACTGTCCAGACAGCCGGTTCTACGCACCGTAGCTGACTCGAATATTATCCGCCCAAGAGCTGTCACCCTTTCGGCGATCTAACACTGTTTGGGTCAATAGGTAATTGGTGGACTAATTGGTAACAGATAGCAGTAGAAGTAGACAAATCAAAGAGGCAGTCATTTCCTTTCGAACAAAAACCCATCTCGAACGCTGATTGGCTCAACAGTACCTACTTAATAGTGAAGAAACGTGAAGGCTGATAATGGAGTGGGTTTAAGAAGTTATCCAGAGAAAGGTTTTTGGGAGAAGTTATGGTCTTCTGTTTATGGGAGACAAAAAATTCAGCAGGAGTTATTGAAATCGGCTACGGCGGAAGAAGAAAGCGACAGAGTGATTTACCAAATTATACCGAGTCGTTGATAAGTTAATTAAATGGTATATACATATATAAAATATTTAATAAAATCTGATTCGATATTCAATCAAATTCCAAAAATCTTTGTTTTTGTATATTTTGCATGCATACATACATATGTCTGAAATCATTTCCAGTCAGTTTGAAAAATAGTTCCATTTTTCAATTAAAAAGCTAATAAATATTTTAAAATTTTATTACAATTAATTTAAAATTTGCACTAAATGTTGAATACTTATGTTTTAATCGTATAACTTTCTTGATAAAATCTTACTTATATATTGTAAGTAAATCAATTGAATTCCTTTTGCTTCCATATATGTACATATGTATAACTAAAGTACGTAAATAATACAAATTAAAAGTAATTTTTTTTTAATCTTAGCGCAGAACTCTTAATAACCCACGAATTAAAAAAAAAATGTTAAATTATTATTATTATTTTTTTTAATTATTAAATTATGTTTGTATGTGTTGTATAAATAACTGCTTGTTTTTTAGGTCTAAGGGCTATATATCTCCTATGTATCAGGTTGACAAGGTGTACTTATGTAATCAGCGGCACATTGCCAATATCAACAAAATATACTTAATGTAGCACGCTATTTTGGAATGTACGCTGTTGTTATTGCTATTGTATTACGTAAGCTAAAACACTTAAATTTAAGTGGATAATATCGAGTAAATGGCAGCACATAGGATATTCAAAGTCTTATTGCTTATTCGGCATACACCTTTTCGTTATTCCTTGTTTGCTTTGCTTTGCTTTCTTGCCGCCACAGCAGTATTAGTATTTGCTTATAAACTGTTGAAATTCCTTGCCTCCATATAATTAAGTTTCAATTTTCATGTGCCGAAATTAAACATTATGTGAGCCATCTTCACGATTTTCATATGCCCAGAATTTGTGGAATTCTATTAAGATGGAGACAACGGTTTCCGCTTGTCCACTGCAAGGCAGAACGAATAATATCAAATGCAAATGCGGGTGACTATGCGCATAAAAGGACAATTAATGTTTAATTAGTGCAGTACAATGCGGCAATTACATTATATTTGCACATACAAAATTATATTATATTCTTTCCCTTACCAATTGATTAAATCCTGCAGTGTAATTTTATATGGGTCCTTCGACTTGACCATATCAAATATTTCGTCTTTTAAATCTTCAAAATTCACTGCTTCCGCATTGACTGCATTAATTTGCTCTTGTATGCCTTTGAAGAAGTAATGCAGTGTTTGCGCAGTTAAATATCCCTTGTGCTGTACGTCCAGTATGCGAAAAAGATAATGCAGCGACTGCGGTTCATGTCTATTATCCAATGCCAAAACAAAATCCAAAAATGTTTTATAATCCATTTCGCCATCAAATGTGCGGCACTCATCGAAAACGCGATCAAGGAAAACTGAAGTTAATGTACCCGAACCATAGCCGGCCAATTCCTGTTTGCTCAACATGCCATTATGATCTTTATCTAAATTCAAATAATTTCCATATACTGTAAGCACGGATGGCATGGAGAACCAATTTTGCTCCTGCGACTCTTTTGGTGTTTCCTCATCGCGTAACTCGAGCAATTCAGTAAGCAGTCCGGAGGCCAATAAGTCACGTATGCGTATGCGGCCGGTATGTAATGGATCGAGAAAGAAGAAAAACTTCTTCACTACCGTACAGACGTAGAAACTTTGAAATGAAGGCTGCACGCAACTGCTAATCTGTGCCAGTGTGGGTATGATATCAATTATATAATTTTCCATATCAATTTCGCGCAGGTATCCTTGACCTATTTCATCGTAGAATGACAAACCAATGCGACCCTGAGTTAGCCACACTTTCCGCATTGTATAATTGAAAATGGAGACTATCTCAACTTTGCCTGCAAAATTCGCAATGTCAATATTTAATATATTCACAAAAAAAAAAATTACTTCTACATAAACGCAAAAGACTTCGTTGTTACTCACCTGGATACATGGAATGACATTGCAATTTGGCATACAGACGCGCTGTGAGATATTTGCGACATTTTGTACTAACAGCTTCTAGCAGTTTTTGATAATCATCATAACTAATAAGTTGTTGACCCAACGGCGTTACTTGTGTGCAGTGTTTTTCTAGCAGTGTCCACAAAGCGCCCAATTCATCATTATCTAGTAACTCTTGTGAGCGCTTCTGCAGAAAGAGGGAATGTGCTTCTTTGCGCAAATTTTGACGCAATGTATTGTTTTGCGGCGGGGGCGCATGAAAAAATTTCGGTATTGTTGAATAAGTGGGATGTTGGAATTTAATAGCTGTCTGCAGAGGCGCATTTACATCAAACTCTCGCAATTCTTCTTCACTTGGTGGTTTTGTAGCAACTTCAAGATTTTCGAATTCTTTCACTATATCTGGATCCAGTTCCATTCTTTTCACTTTTGTTGGCAGTTGAAAAACAAATTCTATTGAAAAAAAATAACTTTTACGTAAAGTTCGCTTTTATCACGGAATAAAAGTAAATAAATATTCCAATGCACAGCTGATTTGACGTGTTGTCAAAAAATTGCGACATCGTCAACGTCGTCGTCGGCGTAAGCGAGAGTGCTACCCAATTGCGCAGTGGAATTATGGCAGGTAATGTGCCCATGGTGGGAAGCTTGGCTAACAGGGTGTAATGAATGGTTGAAAAATATGTCAAACATTGTATTTATTTAATTTTATGACTTAAATAAATAAATTTATATCCACATATATTTAAAAGCAAAACAAAAAATAATAATAAATAAAAATATAACAAGTATAAACTCTTTAGTTCATCATGTGGATTGGTGAAAGCAAATTTAGTTCGGAAATTTTTAATTTAGTACCCAGAACCACCCTTTTTTTAAGAACTTCCTTTTCCTTACCGCATTCTTTTCAATTCAACTGTGTGTTTGCGCATTTACACTACTTTCCTGCAGAAATAAAAGGCTATTTGTTTTTTTCTTGTTATAAATTAAATTAATTAGCAAAAAATAATAAAAGCTGCTGAATAAAGGTAAAATAAAATCTGTGTACAAAAGAGTTGCTGGAAGAGTGTTGTACGATATTTAATAATTAGAACAGATCGATGTAATGATGAATGGATGAATGTTTTAAGCTTTTTCGGGTAACGCAATAATTGCTGTTTACTGAAATATATATTTGGATACATAAATATATAAATAAACTTATTTTTAAGTTTTATTGCATTTAATTAAATAAATAAAACTTTGACAGATGAAATACTTTTCTTTTTACAGGTTCTAACATAAAAGTTGCGTCCGCAATACTTAATTGTATCTTAGCACGCCAGTTGTGTTTCGAAGACCCGTCGTGTTCGGCTATCTTAGAAATTATTCCCAGAGTATGTGGGCCTATACCAGGTAAGTGTTATGCAACATATAAGTCTTGACTTATACATGTCATAAGAAATCAAGAGTAGTAAACATTTCAATTTATTTTTAGTTTAAAGCGCATATATGTATAAAGGATTTGAGTTCAGACCGGCTTAACAAATTTTAAAATCTCACTCATTCATCGTTTCAATTAAAAAAAAAAAAGCACATTAACCGCTTACCTTTTTTGCAAATATTTGAAATATTTGTAAACAAAAAAGTCTGTTAATTAAAATTGATGAGGGTTCGTAAATAATGTAATTCGTATTATGTGCTAGCAACTCTTTCCGCTAATTATAGCATATTCTATGTCTTTGAACTGATAGCAGATACGAGTATATGTATGTATATTTGTATAGCTTAAAATATTCTAGCGTGATTAATGATAGGCTTTCAATTAATTTGTGAAGGTTAATTATTCCAAGTAATGATAATATAATATTATATAGTGTTTTCGAAAGCAATGTGAAGCGAATTATTGATTTCATTAAAGAATGCCTAGAGCAGCTTTCATGACTTTCAAATTGCTGTTTAATTTTTCCTTTTCCTACAAGAAATACAAATAAATACAATACATAAATATTTTATAAAAAAATTAATTTTTTTTTTTGTGTGAGAATGAAAAGGCCTACGCACGTCTGGTTTTGATTATTAAATTTGTTAATTATTTGAGATTTCAAAACGGCAAACAAATAGTCGATTTTCAAAATGACGGCTACAAAGTGGCGCTTTCCGTCGGCCTCTGTGCGAAAAACATGGCCCAACAACTTCAAGCCTACAGCCTCATTTAGTAGACTGAAATCAAAAATCGTTTTCATTATTTGAAGATCATGAAATTTGCTACGTCCTGAACCTTAGTGGAAACGATTGAACGATAATTTTATTGCATAATGCTCATTGCAATAATAAAGTTAAATTGTTTGCTACTTTTTCATTTCAATTACGTACAAAAAATGTAAGCAATTAACTATCAGGTGTACAACTTTGCCTCCGCCGTTTTACGATAGGTGGCTGTACCGGATGAGGCTGGTTGAAATACATAGATGATAATGCCTTTAAAGTGAGGAGATCGCTACTGGACGCAACTGATGCGCCTTAGTCGCTCGCCAAAAGAAAAGCGGCCACAATATCAAGAGCGACATAACAAAGTCATCCTCCAACACGACAATGCTCGGCCTCACGTCGCAAAAGTGGTCAAAAAGTACCTGGAAACGCTGAAATGTCCCACCCGCCGTATTCCCCAGATGTCGCCCCTTCTGACTTCCACCTATTCCATTCGATGGCACACGGCCTGGCAGATCAACATTTTCAATCCTTCGAAGAATTGGAAAAATGGATTGCTTCCGAAAATTGCCGGAAAGATGAGAGAAAGTTGCCGCTAGCGAAGGACAATACTTTGAATAATATATCTGTAAGCACTTTTTCGCAATAAAGCTTTTAATTTTGGAAAAAACGGCGGTAGCAAAGTACAACAAACTTTATTCTTTGAAACAGTCTTTAGATAAAAGTCAAAGATCAAGCCCGGGGAGTGAAGTTAAGTCGGAAAACATGGTTTCGAAAAAAACGAGTTCAAAGTTTTTTGAAAATTTTTAGCGTGCATGAGACAGGTGCGTTGGAGAAGCTGCCATTTTAAAAATATTCATCGTAATGTAAAATCTCTTTAAATACATACTCTACAAACATATGGCTTTCATTTTTTTGGGTAAAAAAATGATTTTTTATTCGAAATCAGGGGAGGGTACCCTTAATTGTTATGAGAAAATTAAAAAATAATTTTTTTATAATTTTTACACAAAGTTGTACAAACCTCTTTGCGCCAGCTTTCAAGTTCAACTCGAGTTCGCTCTCGAGTCACATGCAATGAGCATTCATTTTCTTGCACAGCTATGCGGCAGCATGTATTCTTTCAGCTGTACTGAAGTTCCCTTGAAGCAATTTTATGATTACATAATATAATGTAATACTACATGTGTAACTACCATATGCATTTAACCTCACAAAATGGCAAACAGAAGCAAATTCCATTGTTTGCTTGCGACGATCGAGTATGCAGTTAGTACCCAGCTGGGCTGAGTCATTGTCGTACATTTTGCATTATCTTACTCCACCGTAAATGAACTTATAACACGACACGTACGAGCTGTTCCGTGTATACATATAGGGTTATACATTTTGTGATTAAAGAAGTATGGAGCTGTATTATGATATCTGTCAAACTGAACTTGTTTTGCTTTAGTAAAAAAATCAGATATTTATAAACATGGATCGCCTAACAATCGCACAACGCGTTAAAATTGTTAAAATCTACTAAAAAAAAATGGTGTTTATGATTTGGCCACGTCTTGTGCTTTAAGAGAAAAATAATGGTGCACATAATTGTCCAACCACTCAAGCGATTGGATGAAAATTGAAGAAATTTGAAGATACTGGAAGGCCTGTGCATCATCATTTTGCTTGATTCACCCCAAAAATCGTTACTATAAGTCTAGCCAAAGACCAAAGACCCTGTCTACTTCTCGACGTTCTTAAAAGCTGAGACTCTCTTGCGGTACCTTAGAACGTATTTTGCACTTGGCCTTACACCTACATTCATATAAAGCCCAGTTCACACAACAACTGAAGCCGACTGATAATTCGCAACGCCGTATATACGTCGATTGGGAGCTGAAACAACGAGCAGTGGACGGCGATTTTCCGAACAAAATTTTCTTCAGCAACAAGCCGCTTTTTACACTCAAGAGATGTGTAAGAGAATCCTAAAATAATTGAAGATACGCTGAAACACCAAAAAATGACTTATTGTCTGGTGAGATCTTTTGTACGGAGGTGGGCTTGCTGTCACTGTCAATTCGGTGCGTTATGGTCGTTTGATAAATGACTGTTGTGGACTGTAATTTAGGAATACCACTAAGATAATATGAGGTTTTTAAAAAGTTAAGCCACAAGCCACAAAAAAGGATTGAATTTGGGCTTATGGGGAGAAAAATTTCCCAACTGCGTCATCTCTAGTCTTAGCGTTATTAATTACCCACTGGGTTCGTATGGTTTGCTACAGGTGGACTTTTGTGTGGGTCTATACGTTAGACCGTGCTTTTGTGGATAAACCTCTAGCTCTTGAGCACTTGAAGAGCAACATTCAGCAATTTATGGCTGTTATTCGTCCAAGATGTGCCAAAAAGTGGCCGAAAATTAGCTCAAACGCAAGACTTCGCAAAGGAGTCATTTGAATGATATTGAATTTCACATATTATGAAGGCCAAGATTCAAAATTTATAATAAAAAAAGAAGTTTCCTGGAAAAAAATATTTTTAATAAACTTTATTTACATTAATTTTCGAGACCGCAGAATGGATAGCACTGTACATGTATGTGCATATATTGGTTAACTCCTTAAGGGTCAGTTATGCAATGCACCCGCTGTGTTGGTGATAATAAAATTAATTTTCTTACTTTAATTTCCCCATGCATACCTTCATGTATGTATGTATATATGTACGTGTATGTATGCGAATTTCGTTATTGCGCCTTGTGCTGGCATGCTACGAATATATTGGTCAAGCATTTGCTGCACCTATGTAAATTGTTACTTACCTACATATTATATATAGTATAGTATATATATGTACGTACATATATATGAACAAATTATTTATTTACTTGTATTGCTTGTGCAATGGTCGTACATTGAACTCAATTAAATGTGCACGGCCATAAAGCTACGAATAGCGATATATATATATGTACGAGGGGATTAAAAAAAGTTCGGTCTAAAAATACCAAATCCTTTGCCATTACGTTATTAGTCTTCTATTGAAATTTTAGAACGATCAGCTGAAATCGAGACGAGAAAACGCTAAATAGCTGAGGATAGTCTGACGAAATTCCATCAAAAGCGCAACAGAAATTCGCCATGTGATTCCCTTCGGGCTTCGGTGTAATTTACAGCCAATTTAAATATTCAGTGAAACCCAAATTGCATATGGAATGATTGCACCGTCTTTAAAGACTTTTTCAAAAAGGCTACGATGATTCTGTACCGAACATTTTTTGGTAGAAGACGAGCCATGAAAAAGTCAACCAAAATATTGCACCGATGATGTCACTGTAGCTCTGGTGAAGTCCAACATTGTCGAAGATCCACGATTGACACAAGAAATGATTGCTAATGAATTGGGCTTGAATGTAATGGCTGTATCGAGAATATTAAGTAAACTTCTGTGATACACGAAGAAATTTGCTCGATGGGTACCACGACTTTTGAATGAGGACTCAAGATGCTCCAAAGCATTTTGCTCAATTTTTCCTAAACGAAATGCGAAAATGCTTAGTCTAGCAACTTTGGTAATGTCGTTACTGGTAACAAATCTTGGTTCGATAAGTGCGATCCAGAAACCAAACAGCAGTCCATGGTATGAAGCACAACAGGAGCAAACCCACCCGTAAAATCTAAGCAACAAAAATCAGCAGCAAAAGTAATGATGTCAGTCTACGTCATCCGATCTAAAGTCGTAGCTGCTTTTTCAATGGAAATCGATTAGACGGTTACTGAAAAATGGTGCACCGAATAGTGCTTACCAAAAGTTCTCCAAAGAGTGTTGGAAAACAGGAAGAAAGAGGATCTGCGGCGCTACTTTTTACAACATTACAACGCGCCATCCCACACTGCTGATATAACGAGTAATTTTATTGCGATCTGTGGGATTCAGCCCCAGATTCTCTGGTTATAGCACCTCGTGATTTCTGGTTATTTTCAAAAATTAAAAAAAAAAAAATCAGAAGGAAAGATCTTTTGTAGCAACGAGGCGCTAATTAAGGCCATTAATGCTGAACTTAATAAGCTTAAAAAGCAAGATTTTGAAGATTGTTTACAGAAGCAGATCTACAGGCTTCAGAAACGCTTTGAAATCAATGGGGATTGTGTGGAGAAAATAAAAAAGGTCAACGATTTCGAATAAATACAAAAAAAAATCTTTTTCGTCAACTTACCG